TCTACGAAGAGAAAAAAATAAAATTCCAAATACCGTCTGTGGATAATCTTAAAGCCCACGAAAGGCCAAAAGCCAGTCTGTTGTGCTATTGGTGAGTGCAGTGGCGATGACACCGGTGTGATGTGTGCGCCATGGCAGCGACAGATTTTTAATGTCTTTTGTTTTTCTTTATATTTTTTGGAGCCGGTTCTAACTCGCAATCGCGATCCTTAGCGGGAGCCGGAGCCGGCTCTGAGAATTCTGGAACCGCCCAACACTAATGGTGTGTAGCAACCACATCGCGCCGATGAAAACAACTGCAATGACCGTGCGCGTACATAGTGACAGGCTGGTACATACTGACAGGCCTCTGACAGGCTGGTGCACACTTACGAGACATGTAAGAAGACACCCAAGGGTAAGGTTACTGAAGCAGAGACAACAGATGTAGCATCAGCTTCCCCCAAAAGAAAAAATCTTGAAAACCTCCAAAGCCTAGTAAGTTTTGTATTATTTCTTTACAGGCCTAAATCTTCATTTTCACTACAAAAGCATGTTGGGAAATTTTAGAAAAACAAATCTGTATTTCAGTCACGATTTCTACAAAAATCATGTATAAAGCCACCTACCTGTACCACATTCAGTGCTATTTAACAATTACATGACTTGTTCCCAAAACTTATTTGAAACAGCTGTCATATATCCTGAAGCAAGGTACTGTGAAGCCGATACACGTCAATCCACCACTACTTTTAGAGTGGCCTGCATCAGCTGCAGCAACACCCAGTCTGCCTTGGAATCTACATGTACCCAACTGCTGTCTGTATGCTGACTCTGGTTGCGAATCTGATTTCTAAGAAAGACACTCAAGAATTTCAGGAGTTCTGCATGGCTACAATTGGTGGACAGCTGGAGATACAAAATTTCTTAAACCTGAAGGCATCAGGACTCTTTGGAAAGGTTTTCATAAGTAGACTTGAGATGAATGAGAAGTGGATTGAACTTTTGCAAGCCTTAGGATTGCATGAAAAGGGACAGCATGTCTTCCTTGTTTGCCAATATTTATTACAGGCAGTTCTACAGGTTGTGATTTAAGACAAACACAGCAAAGATTATAAACCCATTGATGACCCAGCTGAAGGTGAAATAAAGTCTGAGAGTTTAAGTCCCCAGGAGGAACAGGTTTTGAGATACAGTGTATGTATCTGGATACATTCCATTTTCTTTGTATAGACAATTACATGTAAGTATACAAAAAAGTGACACAGCCGTGATATTCTGTAAATATCTTACATGCAAATCCTGGAAAGTAGACTGTGTTGATGAAAAGGCAAGAACATTTCTACAGTACACAAATGACTGGGTTGAAAAACAAAATTGTGGTGGTTTATTTCATGGGTCAGATGGGGTTTATCTATTATTCCGAGCCATGGAGAGAGAGACCCGTGAATATTTAACCATGAATAATCTGATGACGTTTCAAGGATGTAATATACCAGCAATCCTCTTGAGTAACATTACAAGTAATCCTCAGGGTTAAACTTACAGTGTAGGCTAACACACGGAAAAATAAATGGTGACACTTCAGTGACCTTACTAAACATGACTGAAAAAGTATAGGCCTGTGGTCTTTCCAATGTATGAAAGAATAAAGTAAATGAAGCAAATTTAAACACTGAAAGCTAAATCTCAATTATTAAGTTCCATGGTTATTCAATTTGACATGAAGGGGTTCTCATCAGTCCAATACTGAAACGAATGTAAAAATATTCTTCCATAGAATTTTTCTGTTTGTTGGCAGAGGCCCGGGTTACATACATGTAGTTGCTACCGTATTTATCCTCGGCTCTCACAAGCTACCAGGGATCTTGTTACAATTTTGGATGTCTTTAATTTAACCACTATTAAGGCGTTTCTTTTGAAAATACTGGGTTTTACAGAATTCCGTTGTGTACATGTACATAAAAAGATTCATACAGTAAAAGTGGAGGTACATAAAACTCGGCCTTTTTTTATTCAGAATAGCAGATTTAGCAGAGACCTTGGTACCATGGTTTCATTTAAAACCCTTAAACGCAACCAATTGTATACAATAAAAGTAGTTGACATAAAGTTCTGAAGATGAATTCATGGTATTCCTTTGATATGACCAAGCAGTAAAGTGTTCGAAAATCATATTACATTTTACAGGCATCGTTTACAACAACAGTGAATGCCAGATTGCATCAACCAAAACGGTAAACCTCTAAAAGGGGCGGTTCCATTGAGACGTTTGGGAAAATCTTTAAACCGATTTGGACCTTTTTTTTGTGTTGGGTATTTAGAATGTTTCATGGGCCCAGTGAGAGGGGGTAATAATTATGGCAAGTGCTTTGATCTACAAGTTAGTTAAAGGTGCTAATAAAAAATAATTGTTATTATTTAAACGTGTAAACGTCCCATCCAGAAGTGGTGGGTTCGAGTTCCACAAGGGTAAGGTTGTGAGTTTTTTCGCAAGCGCTCAGACAAACATGTTGGTGTAAGGGCAAAACCTGTTATTACAAATTAACATCTCCCCAGTGCTAAGTACACTTACTGTACAAGTATTTCTTGCGAGAGTGTAAATGAAGGGTTAAATTGATTATAATGTACATTGCTTGCATTACTGCAACTGACTTTGTATATGGTTTGTTCATCATCAATCTGCCGGTCTGTGTCAATATACAGATATTTGATTTAATTGAAGGGGGAATATTGGACTACATGTAGTAAATTTTTCGAATTGGCACGGCCCTAAAAGCAGTGGGAAATAAGTGTAAAATAAAAGCTAAAAAGAATTTGGATCAGTTTTAAGTTACATTGTATCTGTGAAAAAACACTGTTCTTCACATGAAAAATGTCACTGATAAATACTAACAAATGTCAAAACAAATAGAATACATATAGCAGTTTTTGCAGTCCACCATTTCTGATTTGTATGCCATTTTGTGATTGTCACTTTTTATCTATTTTTTCTTAGGTATTAAAAACTGTGAAGAAACAGGTTACGTGAACTTTAAGCTCTACCACAGATCTGTTGATGCTGCACCATGGACGCAGATTTGTATGATGAGTTTGGTAATTATATTGGACCTGAGCTTGATAGTGATTCAGAAGATGAGGAATCAGAAGAGGAAGGTCCTGAACCACAGTTGGAAATTGTAAGTGCCTTGGTGATAGTCAGATTATGCTACACATGTACATTGCTCTTTCAGGCCATTGTCTTGCAATATTCATCACTATTCTTTTTAGGGATGGAAAAAAGTGAGTTGCACAGTATGTATATGTCAGGGGTCACTCCATTTGAAATCACATGAAAATCAGGAAAAGTCCCCTGTGACTTGACCAAGATTAGCCTAAGTACATGTAGTGCACAAATTCCTAAAATTACCGTTGACATACCCAATGAAGGGAAAGAAAATTCTGGCTTGATTTTGTATCTGTAGCCACAGAATGTATGAGTGGAGTGCTACATTTGGTACTAAACCCGTAAATCATTGTAAATTGCTTGGTTTTGTTGATAGCATAATTTGAAGGCCTTTGTATTTTCTATTAAGCTTGAAATTGGGTAAAAGGCTAAATTTGCCGGACATGTTCTCGTATTAATAGTAATTTTAGTTTCTAGGAGTAGGAAAATGATAACCTTTGAATCTTGAAATCATGGGCCCCTAGATTCTTTTGTTTTTGTATGTTGATATTCTTTTCAACATATCTTTTTAATAAGCAAGGTATTTTCAAATTCTTTTTGCATGACCTCAAGTATACCGAGTACATGCAGGTACATGTATTGTATGCGGGCTGTTTGAAAAATTTTGAGTCATGATGATGTCAGCAAAAAGTATGATGTTCGAAACACGCACACACACTAAACAAAGTCTGATCAAAAAGAAATTCATGGGGAACATGTAGGTAGAACTTCTACTCTAGATCATATTTATGAAGTTCTTTATGATGACATCGTCATATGATATACCGGTATTATTCAATTCTTTAATATTTAGTAAAATATCCATTGACTTTGTACACAGACTTCTAGGTGTGACTTTGGTCACTTTGCAGTCTTTTGCCTTTATCAAAGTTGCACCAAGGAATGACCTTTATGTGTAGATTAATCTGGTACAGTTACATGTACATGTACTGTACATTGTGATGGCATCAACAGAGGTTGCATGATATTCCTTCCAAGTTGAATTCTTTGCTGGCCATTATCTCCAGAGCCATAAGTCCCACTGAAATGAAATGGCATGGACTCAAACGAGTATGTATGTCACTGCCGTAAAATATATCCCCCATTTTTTTTTATTTAAAGAAGGTTTAGTAATATTAATTTCTCATTAATATTCATGTTCATGGTTCAATCATAATCGTCTGTTGACAAAATAGATATTTTGAGTACGGACCGTTAGCATCATTCCAATGCTAGCTGGATCCGAGAGAACACCTTCAAACTTTCTTTTCCCATATTCATCGTTCAGGTAAATCATTTCATTTATTATACTTTAATTATTGATATTAATCAGTGCTCATTACTTTGATTATGCTACATGTATATTTGCCATCTTTAGGATTACAGATCTAAATGGTGTAATTTAAAAAGATTGTTGTATACGTTTTTGTGACAGTCTGTATGAAGCCAGTGCCACAATTCTTAAAGATTCTGAAATATTTTTCTTACACTTGAAGTATACTTGACAGGGATCTGCCGCTGCCGGTCGGGACCGACCGGCACG